ACTGGACACAAACTAGGTTATTTCGGGACTAACATATGGTCCAATTATATTTCATTAATTCGCTTGTGCGTAGTGGTCTTTAGCAGAAGGAGGAAACCGGAAAATCCTGAGAAAAGCTACGAAGTTGGGCAGGCAACCCTACTCCTTGTCACGTACAACCAGGGAATCGAAACCACGCCAGTTGACTCAATGACAGATTTTATGATACAACGCGCATGCACTAACCATCCTCCCCCCCCCTCCGAGTTTCCTGGGGAAGACTTGTACGAATTTAGCACTCAACCCAGCTACCTTGCTATGCGGGCCATTGCGGGGCTAGTGGGCTCTCATTTGACAATGTGGGCTGGCAATATTAGCAAAAATGATATACTGTGCTGAATTTGAAATCCTTATCCCTCATCTTGGGGATCACGAAACAGTTAAACGTGGTCCGGAATCCCCAAAAGAAAACCTTTAATCTAATAGCTAACTTCAAATGACTTAATAAACCTATAACGTTAAATCTCTTTGATCTTTGGTGTGCATTCTCTGCCCGGAATAACTTGCGGTCCGAAAGTCAGTGGCGGCTTTGAATATAGACAGGGGAATTTTGGGTTATTCTTCCAGGGTATTTTTTTTTCATAAACAGGATTTTCTTACTGGAAGTCTGGGATATTCTCATTTTAAGTACCTGTAAACATAGACGGTTTTATAAACAAGATAAAATCCTAGACTTCGGTTATGCCGGGGAAGAAAGACTTCAGAAAAAATAACCTCAGGTTATTTTCTTCAGTCTTTCTTCCCCGGTATAACCTCCGTCTCGTGCTTTATCCTACACATAATGTCGGTGAAATAGCAATATGGTTGAATATGAACTTGGATCAGCATCGCATCGATTGTTAAAATTGCCAAGAATAGTCATAGTTTCCGCATTCTTATTGTGTTGTATTATACAGAGAAGGTGTGGTTGTTAATGAATATAATAAATATTGTAACATATCAATCCACACGAATAATTTATATTCTTATATGAAAACTCACCGTATCCTCTGGACTTATTACCGTTTGTCGGCTTAACACATAAATAACATTCGTCGATATTCTCAGTTACAGATATCTTGCGGCGTAGGAGCTATAGTTTAACATGCATAAACAGGCACATGGAGGATTAAAATAAAAAGTCTTACTGCCACTTCGCTATATACTATAATTGTAGTATAATCTATGGTTAAGAAGTTTTAGGGGGTTGGATGGCCGAATGGTTAGCGCGTGAGCGCTGTTTCATAAGGTCTGTCATTGAGTCAACTGACGGTGTTTCAATTTCCCGGTTGTACGTGACAAGGAATAGGGTCATCTGTCCGTCTTCTTGGGTTTTATCCGGGTTCTCCGGTTTCCCCCCTCTGCCAAAGACCCCTACGCGCAAGCGAATTGTTGAAATAAAATTGAACCTTATATACCGAAATGGCCTAGTTTGTGTCGAGTAGACGTTAAACCCCATTTCTCTCTCTCTCTCTCTCTCTCTCTCTCGAAAGTACATGTATAAAAGAACGAAACGAAATATAGATCTGTATTTGCCTATTGCAGGTCTTTCTTTAGGCCTGAAATGTTATCTAAATTATTAATTAGATATTAATTAACTTATCCAGACCATAATCAACTCTCGATGCCATTGTTAGCCTGCAATATTTACTGGATTTGAATACATTTTGAGATGGATAATTTAACGTTTATTTAACTCCATTTTCTCCCTCCCTCCCTCCCTCTCTCTCTCTCTCTCTCTCAAAAAGTTTTATTTTAATCCCTGGAAGTGCGTGTGCTCAAAACAATATGGCGGGTGATACACTTTGTCTTCAAGTGCCTATACATGCATAATATAATTTAATTGCTTACAAATACAGCGAGAACAGTCGAGTCAAGTGTTCATATATTAGTGATTAAAACTGGTTAATTCTGTGTGAAAACCTCTTATAGAAACCTTGATCGTGCTTAATGTACTCTTTTCGATTCGTTTACATTTTTAAGATAGGTCTAATTATAACTACACCAACATTTTGTTTAATTTTATTTAAATAAAGATCTATATATCGTTTCGTTTTTTTTTATACTTTCGATGGCCTGCACTACATGAAGATCTGACCAGTTGTAGTGGAAGGTCGCGTCAGGTGTCATACGAGGGGCTTTTGTCCTTATGACGTCAGACATTTGGTGTTTCTAGTAGGATAACCCACAGTTCCGTGCATCGCTCGCCAAGAACTCGCTGCAACAGACCGTTTCATTGACTAACCCCTCATATCAACCAAAACGCGTGTTATATAACAGCTCGTCCAGATCCTAGGGTAGTAAAGACAAGTAAAACGAAATTTTGAACTATATATAAAAAACCGACTGTACTATGTTAGGATGGGACAAATACCTTGGTGTGTACATGAAATAAGGGGCGCCGGAACGGCGCGAGGGCCAGGGTACCAAAAGATAGGGGGCGGGGTCAGGGGAGGGTGTTATCTCCCCCCGGCCTCTAGAAAATTTTGAAATTTGTCAATTCCGAGAACGCTGTTTAGAGCGCCTCTAGCATTCCAAATTCCAACATAGAACCCTTTAAAATACATGATAATGAAAGAGACAAAAGCCTGATTATTCACAAAGTTATAGACTAGTAAAAAGGGCATGGGTATACATGTATACCCCAGAAAAGGGCAGGGTACCATTTGTATACCCTGGTACCCGAGTTCCGGCGCCCCTGCATGAAATAAGCTTTGTCTGTTAGAATTCGAACTGTCCGGACAAAATGTACCACATCCCGTATTCTTGGCTGCATCCTTCAACTTTATTTCGGTTGCTTAACCCTTTGGACACCGACACCCTGAACGACATTAGGCCTTTATATACTAGCCTCCCAGGGTTAATATGTAATATTATGAAATGAATGTTTAAAGATGCATCCCAACGAAAGTATAGGGTAGTTATGTCCAATAAAGGTGTTGTTTCTCGGCCAATGCAGTGATCGAACACCCGCTAGCCTGGAGGTCGGGTGTTCGATTCCTGCATTGGCCGAGAAAGTTCATTCAGATTTTCTGGCGTGGTTTCCCCCTAGTCAGTGATGCAGGATGGAGGGGCTGACAAGGACAGCTGTCTAGTCTTTCGGATGGGACGAAAAACCAAGGACCCGTGTACACATTGGCGTTGCACGTACAAGATCCCTTGGCAGTTGGAATTCGATATAAGAGTAGGCCATAGCGGTGCTGCCCGGGCAAAATTTCCCTCATAGCACACTGTATGGCGTATGCCCGTCTTCATTAGCCCAGGTTAGGAGCAGAACAGTAGGATGTTAAACCCCATTTTCATTTCATTTCATTTTGTGACATATTTGATGGAAAGTACATTGGAAAGTAAGAAAAATATCGAAAACATCTGAATCTGTCCTTCATGGTACCAGGGACCGTACACAGATTTCTGTCACATGTTTTTTTTTTGTCATGTTTTTATCACAATTCATGACTTTTTATGTTTTTATCAATATCAAATATTATGATTTGTTTTATATAGCTGTAAATAACTTATCTCTGGTCCATGAAGTAGTGTCCAACCAGTGTTATGGGGATAAGAACGTTTCACCAGTAGCACTGGTGGTATTAATGGTCGCAGTCATCTTCTCCTATGGCCATATACCCACATAACATTGACTGAACACTGTCAATTAGAAAATGGAGATCACGTGGCTAAGTGGGTAAGACGCTGGCTCGCTAGCCTGGAGGTCGGGTGTTCGATCCCTGCATCCCTAATTTTCCGGTGTGGTTTCCCCTTGTCAGTGATGCAGGACAGAGGGCCTGACAAGGACAGCTGTCTAGTCATTCGGATGGGACGAAAAACCGAGGTCCCGTGTACAAATTGGAGTGCACGTAAAAGATCCCTTGGCAGTTGGAATTCGATATAAGAGTAGGCCGTAGCGCCGTTGCCCGGGCAAAATTTCCCTCATAGCACACTGTATGGCGGATGCCCGTTCGGATGGGACGAAAAACCAAGGACCCGTGTACACATTGGCGTTGCACGTACAAGATCCCTTGGCAGTTGGAATTCGATATAAGAGTAGGCCATAGCGCCGTTGCCCGGGCAAAATTTCCCTCATAGCACACTGTATGGCGTATGCCCGTCTTCATTAGCCCAGTTTAGGAGCAAAACAGTAGGACGTTGAACCCCCATTTCATTTCATTTCATTTCATTTCAAATAGAAAATGAAAGAGAGCAGCAAGCTGGGATGATTTCCTTATTCACATCCGGATTTACTAGTATAGAAATTTATTATTGGGAGTAGCGATCTATGGTTAATTTTATATTTTGAAAAAGTTTTCGTCTCAACTTATGAGAAATAGTGATATTTTATATTTTTCCATTTTAAGAAATGACGAAATTTTATGAAAATATCAATGTTTTTACATTGTACGGTCCCTATGGTACCCCTGTCTCGTCGCTCTACGGCCTTGTAACTTTATCTGAAAAAATTCAGATAAGAATGTTCTAATCAGAACAGGTCTGCCTACCAAACTGAGTTGAAATCCATCAAACTGTTTACGAAATGAAGTCAAAATACATAATGACTATAGAAGTTATACACTTTTTAATAGTATTTACGAGTACGTGCAGTTCAGTTTTTTATAGCCCAAAAACATCAATCACACGTGGACTTTGAGATCAGGTAAAATGGACTTTGACCCTTTCACTCAACTATTCAATCAAATAGTTGTCTACGTGTTAAACAGCATTCGTCCATTTCTTATTTGTGAAATAAAATTGTCAATCTGTAGCGAATTTATAAAACACTTCTGATGTTTTGTTTCATTATTATGTTGTGTTTGTTACTTCTCCAAACGATTCAACTAAATAGAAAGATAATGCGCGGGTCAATATTACTTTAATTGATGTAAGGGGGACAACTCCATTTATGAATCCTTATTAAATTGGAATACGCGAGTTGTACCATCTTTGTCATGAACATTTAACAATTATTAATTAAAACTTAAAAAGGATAAATGCATCGATAATATTTAATGTAAATAAACAAATATATATTGATCTATTAATACAATGTGTTCAAATTTAATAATATAATTCCAAAACAACAAAATATCCACCAATCCTTCTGAAACATAAATAAACTAATTGGAGATCTTGGTGAATGTACATGTACATGTAGATGTACATGTAGATGTACAATGTACTTGCATTTTAAGTGACTTTTATACACAACAGAATCCCTGGGTTTAGAAAAACGAGTATTCATTTATTCAGACTTAACTGTAAAAATGGATTATCGTTACAACGGGTAGTAATGACGATCGAGGCTACCCTAAAATTGAGTCGCTAACATCTCGGTTCAGAGTGAAGCAATTTGATGGAAATTTTCAGCATATTATTTTGTTTTCAGTATCTAGTTTTTAACTATTATAGCGAGAACTGTCAGCTCTTTATCTAATCTTTAATAATGCTGCTTTAAGTGTGAAATAAGCATAATTTGATACATGTGTATTGTTCCAAAAATGACAAAGACAATCAGCCGGTTTAACAAAGCATAAATCTGTAGAAAACATTAAATAGCCACCATTCACACATTTTATTCCCCGAGGTATTCCATGTTTTGATACATGTGATGTCATAATTCAAATATGTCAATTTCACAGTTACACACTCTCTAGGGTTTATTTACTAATTAGGTCTATTTACATGCCATTATAAGCTGGCCCCTCCCCACCCTGTGGACAAACCCAGTTTATATTTTGAGTAACGTCTTTGATATCACATGTTTTACAATGAATGCAGTTCTGAGCATTAATCTGTAGTCTCTTTCCACTGCCATCTTCCGTTTCAACATATTCATATACCCCAGCTGGGCAAAATCTCTGCTCCGGCCCATCGTAAAGTTGTAAATTCACGTCAACAGGGACCTTGTCGTCCATTAAGGTGAGATGCGCGGGTTGATCGTGGTCGTGATTTGTACCAGTTAAAGCTACAGATGTTAAAATATCAAAACTAACTTCGCCATCTGGTTTCGGATATTCTATAACTTTACACTCTGTCGCAGGTTTCAACTTCGAATTGTCTGTACCTCCGTGGGAAAGGGTCCACGGTTCAAATCCACGCCCTAACACGTAAAACAAACCGGTGTAGAGAATTCCTCCAAATAATCCTAAACCAGTATTAAACGATGGTCGAACGTTTCTCACTGATTTTAATTCATTCCACACCCAACTTTCTCGAATTCTAGTTTCATAACATTCTGGATCTAAACCTTTCGTTGGGGAATTAGAAATCAAATCTTCATTAAATAAAGTTTCAAACGCCGACTCGGCCGCAACCATTCCACTTTTCATGGCATTATGGGTACCTTTAATCTTCGGTACGTTCATAAAACCAGGACTACATCCAATTAAACATCCTCCTGGAAATGTCAATTTGGGTAAACTCTGAAATCCACCTTCGTTTAATGCCCTTGCTCCATATCCTATCCTTTTACCACCGCGAAATACTGGTTCAACTGATGGATGATGTTTGAATCTCTGAAATTCCCGGAAGGGACTCAAGTAGGGATTTTTATAGTCTAAACCGATCACCATGCCAACCACTACTAAAGGTGCCCCTTCGTCTAAATGATACAGGAAAGTTCCTCCGTATGTATCTCTATTTAGCGGCCATCCAACTGTATGCTCGACTCGTCCAGGTTGATGTTTTTCTGGTTCAATCTCCCACAATTCTTTTAATCCGATTCCATATGTTTGCGGTTCACAGTCTTTTCGTAGATCAAAAGATTTGTAAAGTTGCTTCGCTAAATGACCGTGACATCCCTCTCCGAACATCGTAATCTTGGCATGAAGTTCCATTCCCCTTTCAAACGTATCTTTAGGAGCCCCATCTTTGGATATCCCTACGTCATTTGTCGCGATTCCTTTCACGCTGCCGTCGTCGTGATACAACACTTCACTTGCTGCGTATCCTGGATATATTTCTACTCCAAGTTCCTCGGCTTGTTCTCCCAACCAACGGACGACATTCCCTAACCTCACAATGTAGTTTCCATGATTATTGATAGGCATCCCGGGTAAAACTGGAATATTAAATCTCCCCTTTTCAGTTAAATACGAAAATTTATCTGCAGAAACTGGGGTTTTTAATGGAGCCCCCCTTTCTTGCCAATCTGGAAAAAGTTCTTGCAAGGCGTGAGGTTCAAGACAAGCCCCTGATAAAGTGTGTCCGCCTAATTCGGCTGCCTTTTCTACTAAACACACGCGTAACTCTTTGCCTTGTTCATTCGCTAACTGTTTCAGTCGACATGCTGCGGATAATCCGGCGGGACCTCCACCAACAATAACAACATCCGCCTCATCTGCAAATCTTTCAAAGTTCACATCCTTCCATCTTTCGTCAGATTCTCTGGGAAATCGTGTGTAATGTGTTGTTATCTTGGGATAAGATTGGGATGTACTCATTAAACATCTTTGAGGAAAAACAGTTCGTGCTAAATGTAAATAACATTTTGCCCTTCGACTTAAAGTCGCCATGGTTGTGTAAAATCTCGGTGATGTAACGCCAAAAGGTAAATATTGAAAGATGGACCCTGGACTCGAAGAATTAAATTCTGTCCTCACGTATCGTGAATGAAGTCAGGTCTAATTTTAATGGTCCTTGGATCCGAACACATCAATTCATAGATCCATACATTGATTCGACAAAACAGAATTATCTAAACTGCCCAAACTTGACCTCAACTACTTAGTTCCATAAATCCTCCACTAACTCCACTGACTTTGTTGCTTGACACCTGAATGCAGGGGAAGTAACTCTAAATGCGACCCATGGTTTTGTAACGCGATGATTCGTCACTTCATAACCAACGCTGTGGCCTATTCGTTCCCATTTCCTTTTTTACTCTTTAATTGGATTTCGTTGAATCGTTTGGGATGAGTATTTTTACCGCCGAAAACCGCTGATACCAACACCAAAATTTAGCTACAACCCAAATAGCTGTTAAATGATCCTGAACAATTTAAAAGTATGGCCCGAGAATTTAAGATAAATCAGCCCAGGACGAAGAAGAATTAAAATCTATGACTTGAAACGAATCATATATAACCACTTCTCTCATCCAATCGTTTTCTTGTCTGCGATATCACCTCGGTGGAAGCGGACGTAAAATACAACTAACCCACCAATCGTTTTTCTTTTCTATTAATTTCATCCAAGAAGCTTCTTGGTTTGATAAACAAGCGATTATTTGTACCGTTGAGGTCCCGTGTTCGATCCCAGTGTTAGCCGAGAATAATAATGATTTTATTTGGTTTCAAATCTTCAACATCATTATGATCATTAAGCGTCTTTTGGAAGTTGCAATTTGGCATTCACAATAACGATAACTATAGTGTGTATATTTAGGTGTTCAATAATCATATAGCATAAATATGGTTCTAGGCGGACGACGGTAGATTTTGTCAATATTGCTCGCCTCTGATTTTAGTGACGAATTGTCTCACAATATTTCAATACATTGTACGAAGCGACTAATACAGCATCTTCCAATCAGATGCCGTCTTTCAGGGTTTGAAAATAGATTGACCAATCAGGACAACTTACACAATGATGTTTGGATTTTAGAGCGTAAATTCGAACGGATAGTTGACAAATTCTGCTAATTATTTGTTGATTTTTATCAGATTTTACTTTAACATTGACAATAAATTAAACAGCAGAAATATACTAAACAACTGCGGAACTCAATGGAGGACGATGTAAGTAATTGATAAAGCGAAGCGCCGCAAATAGAAGTATAAAATATTTAATTTGTTCATAAACGAAACACTGATTCATTCACTTCCGTGGATTTTGGTATTGACATAGGCCTAACAGTTTTTTATTGCAGTTCTCTCCATAGTAATGGTTCCACTACTGATGTTTTAGGTCTTGCCTCCAGCCACAGTAGTGGATGGATCTAAGGACTTCTTTGATCAAGTTTTGTAATCATTTGATACGCGTCGCATGTGAAGTATGATCTTTCAATCAAGTGATCAAACGTCACTCACTGTCCCTAGGCCTAAATTAGTAAATGATCTATGGAGTCGTCCATACATTGATGCTAATTATATGGGTGTATATGTAGGCAAATCTTTATCTTGAAAGCGATGGGTGGGGACTGGGGCTAATGCTTTGTGACAAGATTTCACCAGGTTGATGTGATGTCAGATGGCATCCTGGTCAGAATGGCTTAGACTACATGTTCATGTTGTTCTGCAAAATCATAATGTGGTGGTGTCACCACTCGTAAAGTGTCTGATGGATACCCAAGACTAATTCTCTAGATCTTTTTGTTAAACTTCAAAGTTGAAATCATGTTTTATTTTTCAGAGAAAGCCCTTGGCAACATCTAATCGGATTGGTGGACTCTCTAAATTACCAATGCCTGGAAGTCGATTAAAACCACCATCTTCAACAACTAAAAGAGCCAGAAGTCCAGAAATAGAAGAGGTTCACATTTAAAATATTATTAAATATGTATGCCTTGTTGAATTAAGTAGGCCTAGCCATCCATATACTATCCAAATATAATTATAATTAAAATAGCTAAGTCTCTAACTCAATATCATCCAAAGTCTTCGACATTGAAAACACAAATTATTTGACATTGAAAACACAAATTATTTGTCAGTTTGAATTAACATTGATGTTGTGATCTTACCGTGAAAAGATGGGCTTCTGATATCCAATATTTAAGACAAAATAAACATTTTACCATTGTAACAAGGGACCCGAAGAATGAGGCTAGACATATTCCACTTGTCATGTCAAACTGTGACGACATATTCTTATCTGGAGAGCATGTGCAATAAATACTATTGGTGTAGATTGTAATAACCAGACACTAGAGATTGCCATTCGATTGAGATTTCTAGCTTATTTCGCCGAACATAACTGATTAGAAATCACAGTAAAAACAGAAAAGATTATTATTGTTCAATTTATATAGCGCTTCATTACACATGAGTGTTTCTAAGCGCATTCACAACAGAACAGTTCAAAAACATTTTTGAAAAAAGTATGTTTTTAAGTTAGTCTTAAAGCTCTGGATGAAAGAGGACTCTCGAAGAGTTTTTGGAAGATCATTCCACATTTTAGCTGCTCTGATGGAGAAAGCATATTCACCAGAACGCTTATTACATGTATATTTGGGGATCCTCAATATGCTACGATCACTTGAAGAACGAAGGTTGGATCGCCGGGGAGTATAGAAATCAAAGAGTTCTTTTAAATAACTGGGTGCGGTGTCAGAATAAATTGATTTAAACACAATCACAAGAACTTTGAATTGAACCCTTGCTCAAACTGGAAGCCAATGGAGTTTCTGTAACTTAGCTGATATATGATCAAATTTTCGTGTTTTAGTTATAAGACGGGCAACATTGTTTTGCGCTATTTGTAGTCTATTTAGAGCTGTTTCTGGTGCTCCTAATAGAAGAGAATTTGCATAGTCCATGTGCGATGTTACTAATGCTCTAACAACACTCTGGCTAGCATCAGTATTAAGATTAGAATGTAAAGCAGTTTATTTACTTTCATGTTACATTATTATGTGCTGCGAGCCATTTGTGACAATTTCTAGGTCCCAAATATTAGCAATTTAGCTCCTTTAGAAACATAACACAATTTATATGAAAAGCAATCACTGGGTCTACACCCATGGCACAACATTTTGACCAATGTTCTATTTATTGTTATTGTGCTTGATGGTGATAATAGAATACTTGTCAAAATGTTGTGCTATATATGTAGCTTACAAACCAGTGATTGTTTTCAATATAAATTGAGTTGTGTTTTTTATTGTGCTCGCTCATTATGGTAACACGGATGTCTCTGGTTCATTCTCACTGTTGGCTGAGAAAGTTCCCCTTGTCACTGGTGCTGAACTGAGGTCCTGACCCGGAATAGTGTCTAGTTGTTCGCATAGGACAAAAAACAGGTCCTGTGTACACATTAGCGTGCAAATAAAAGAACCCTTGACGGTAATGCCGTAGTCCGAGCAAAATTTCCTTTATTAGCCCATTCGGAGCAGAAAAGTAGGACCTTAAACCCTATTTCATTTCCCTTTATTGTGCTGAATTGCCACTCCAGGGTTATAATTAAAATTAGAACTTTTGATAATTCACTGTTTTTTAGGGGCCTATGCCGTGCAATAAAGAGTTCTGTTATTGTATGTTTAAAGCAGGGTTATCGTTTGTCATTCTGTTGTTTATTTCTTCAGGCTGTAGAAATCAATTCTGGTAAAAAAAGATGTCTAGAAAAACCAGCACCAGCATTGACACTTCCAAAGACGAATACAACCAAGTCTTTAGCTAAGACATCGGCCAAATCATCAGCAAATTTGAGATCAACGTCAAATACCACACGACGACCATTAGCTTCAACTAAACCAAATAATAAAAGTGGTACGTTTCTTTTTTTATTTACACAAAAACCAGAATTTGTTGAGTCTAATATCGAGTAAAACTAAAATTGTATGAATCAAATGTATTCATCAAAACTCACATATGTATTTGATATTTAGTGGATTGGAATACATTTTGTGATGGATGATTTAACGTAAAAGTGGATAATCAAGACTTTGTTTATTATCGGACCAACGTGACGATCAAGGCTAGCCTGAAATTGAATCGCTAATATCTCGCTTCATAGTGATTCGATTTGATTGAACTTTTCAGCATATTCTGTTTTCATTATCTATTTTTAACTATTATAGCGAGAACTGTCAGTTCTTTATCTAATCTTACCTAAATCCCCTTTGATTCTAATGACATTTCAATAATAATATTTTCAGTTTCAACTTTAAATCGTTCGACGAGACCATTGACCAACACACGACCACCAGCAGTTGGTAGTGTAGTCAAGAAACCTGTCTCATCTGGGATCAGTAAAAGCAAGCCACAATCAGCAGCAGCACCAGCACCAGGTTTGTCTTCATTAGATCAGTGGTTGTCAGAGAATCAGATTAATATTCCTCTTACGATCCTAGGTTTATCTCCCTTAGATCAGTGGGTGTCAGAGACTCATATTATATTCCTCTTGTGATCCTCGGTTTCCTAATGGCTTGGATTGTAGAATGGTTAGTGCGTGCGCATTGAGTCAACTTGCGTTACAAGGAGTAGGATCGTCTGTCTAACCTTGTGGGTTTGCTCCGGGTCCTCTGGTTTCCTCCCACTGATAAAGACCACTACGCACTGGCGAATTATTGAAATAATATTGAACCATATGTTAGTCCCGAAATGACCTAGTTTGTGTCGAGTGGACGTTAAACCCCATTTCTCTCTTTCTCTCTCCCCCCCCCCCCCCACTTCCATTTATTCTTAAAAATAACCAATTTAATACATTAATATGTGAATTAAACATACATTATGCAAGAGCTAAATCTGCCTATTGTAGGTCTTTCTTTAGGACTGAAATGTTATAAACTATTTACATGTATTAGACATTTATTAACAAAACAAGACCATAATCAACTCTTGAGGGCATCAGATACTCTCGATTTTTACTAGATAAGAACGGTACGCCATTAAAAAATTTACCGGTAATAATCGGTAAACGAGGCTAAGTCTCGAATATACCAGTGCCCTGGTTACCACTATGCACACATTTTTTCAAAACTACAAACAGTGATAACTTGGCTCAGAATGAAGTTTAGTTGAAAGAAATTTTCATTTTACATTATCCATTTTTGAAATATTATAGCAAGAATATGGTCAGCTCTTTATCTAAATCTTACGTAATATATCTTTATGGATAACTTGATATTTATTGAAATAATTGTATAATATAACAGTCAAGTTTATTTTCACAGCTAGACTTAGTGGCGGATCAAAAAGACCAGGATGGGATTTAAAAGGTCGACTACAGGATATGGAAGCGTTGGTTCTATCACGAGAAAATATGAGCGCAGAACTACAGAGCCAGTTAGAAAGTTACAACAAACGTATTTTCTCTCTCGAATCACATAACCAACAATTGACGGGAACTGTACGGGAAAAGGAACTGCAGACTCAAGATAACACTGCAGAAATTTCAAACCTTCGTCGCCAAATAAGGTACTTGTAGCTTACTTATTGTGAAAGAGACTAATATTTTTTATTTGCCTGGGTGGCTCAGTGGGTAAGACTTTGGCTAACTAACCTTGAGGTCGGGTGTTCGACCCCTGCATTGGCTGAGAAAGTTCATCAGGAATTTCCAGCGTGGTTTCTCCTTGTCAGTGATGCAGAATCACTTGGGTTTAAGTATTACTGTTCAGCTCCGGTTGGGCAAATCCAGCATTCTCCATACAGTGTGCTATTAGAGAAATTTTGCCCGGACAATGGCACTTCAGCCTACTCTTATATCGAATTCCAGCCGTCCCAACCGAACGATAAGACAGCTGTCCTTGTCAGACCCTCCGTCCAGCATCATTTACAAATGGCAACCATGCCGGAAAATCCCAAAGAACTTTCTCAGCCAACACCGGGAGCGAAGCCGCGACCTCCAGGATAGCGAATCAGCATCTTACCCTCCTAGTTACCGTGCCTTCCGCAAATCTTTAAAATAAAGCTGTTAGATTTTTTTAAGTTAATGTTAATCCCCAAAATCGTACATTCCGCAGAATAAAGACCAGATAAAATAGATGTCTTGTAGTCATTGTGTTATTTACATTTGACAAAATGCTACTTTTAAAACATCTCTTTTCTAATATCACCCACATTCATTCTATCAGGTGAGCTACGGTGGCTAAGTGGATAAGACGCTAAGTCGCTAGCCTGAAGGTCAGGTTTTCGATCCCTGCATATGCCGAGAAATTTCATAGGGATTTTCCGGCGTGGTTTCACCTTGTCAGTGATGCAGGACGGAGGGTTTGACAAGGACACCTGTCTAGTCATTCGGATGGGATGGAAAACTGAGGTCCCATGTACACATTGGTGTGCACATAAAAGTTCCATTGACAGTTGGAATTCGATATAAGAGTAGGCCACAGTGCCGCTGCCCGGGCAAAATTTTGATCATAGCACTTGTATGGCATATTTCCGTCTTCATTAGCCCAGTCGGATGTTAAACCCCTTTTTATTTCATGTAGTTGTTTATGACAGTTTACTTCTATGTTATTGATTATAGAGAAGCCGAGGACAGTCTAGACAGCACAAAACGTCGATTCCAACGAGAAATAGAGGATTTAACTTTCTCTAAATCTACGCTAGAACGACAGAAAGAGACTCTATCAGGTGAATTGTCTGCTAACCAGGCTGAGATAACAGGTTTAAAATCATCCATCGCTGAATTAACGTCCACTCAAGCTAAATCAGCAGCAGAATTAGAGGGCATGAGGGTAGGTTGAAATATTATTTATCATTCAAACTATCTTTAAAGTTTAAAACTGGCTTACCTTAATTAAATGCTATGACGGGAGAGAGAGAGAGAAATGGGGTTTAACGTCCACTCGACACAAACTAGGTCATTTCGGGACTAATATATGGTTTAATTTTATTTACATAATTCGCTTGCGCGTAGGGGTCTTTAGCAGTGGGAGGAAACCGGAGGACCCGGAGAAAACCCACGAGGTTGGACAGGCGACCCTACTCCTTGCCACGTACAACCGGGGATTCGAAACCACGCCAGTCGACTCAATGACAGACTTTATGATACAGTGCGCGCATGTTAACCATTCAGCCATCCAACCCCCCCACTATGACGGTAGGTTGTACTTGCATGGTTGTATTTGCTTGTTCCTTTGGCTATTGTACATCAATAAATGGACTTTGATTTTTGATGTGACATTGGAGGTTGGATGGCCGAATGGTTAGTGTGTGAGCGTTGCATCATAAGGTCTGTCATTAAGTCAACTGGCAAGGTTTCGAATTCCCAGATGTAGGTGACAAGGAGTAGGGTCGCCTGTCCAACCTCTTTGGTTTTCTCTGGGTTCTCCCGTTTCCTCCCACTCTTAAAGATCCCTACGCGCAAGTGAATTATTGAAATAAAATAGAAACATATGCTAGTCCCGAAATGACCTAGGTTGTGTTAAGTGGACGTTAAACCCCATTCCTCTCTCCCTCTCTAGCTATGGTGCTTATTTTTATTTATACATATTTTAGACAATTATAATATTTTTGAATGGTTTGTTCAGATAAATTTGACGGATGCTAATAGTACGATAAAGATACGAGATGAAACAATCGTAGAGTTGAAGGATCTAGTTCGACAACACGAGGAGAAGATCAAAGAACAGGAATTAAAACTGATTGAACAGGAGACGACCAGACGACAGTTACACAACACCATACAAGAACTGAAGGTGAGGCTGTGCGAATGTTTATATCCAATTTAGATCATATCAAAAAAAATCTGTTCTTGTTCTGGTCCTCAAAAGGCTGTGTGGCTACAGGTAGCTTTAAAATGTGTGAGAGTTACTGTCCCTGTCTCTGAAACGATGAGGGGTGCTTGATTGTCAGTCCGGAACGTCCAGAATTGACAGAATTGCAATCAAGTGATACAGAATTCTGCCCTGTCAGAGTTGTGTCAGTCCCAATAGCTGGGGTGGTGTGAGTAGAATCATGAGGTATTTTAAGTAACAAATATGTTTCATCTGTCATGATTGGTTGAAATATTTTTTTAAGCAGTCGACACATGCGTTGCACTCCGAAATTCTCCTTTCCTGCAATTGATACTATTTTTAGAATATAAGAGAGAATTTAATTCTGGAATGTTCAATTGAGTATCCCCCATGTATGGTATCACATACAGGTCACAATTCTATGGAATACAATTACTGCTTATACTGATCGATGTTTTAACTAGGCTTCTCTAGTCTTATTCCTTAGGGGTGTTGGATGGCCGAATGGTTAGCACAAGCGTGCTGTATCATAAGGCCTGTCATTGAGTCAACTGACGTGGTTTCGAATCCCCGGTTGTACGTGACAAGGAGTAGGGTTGCCTGTCCAACCTCGTGGGTTTTCTTTGGGTCCTCCGGTTTCCCCCCACTGCTAAAGACCCCTATGCGCAAGCGAATTATTGAAATAATATTAAACCATATGTTAGTCCCGAAATGACCTAGTTTGTGTCGGGTGGACGTTAAACCCCATTTCTCTCTCACTCACTCTTAATCCTTATAATCATACAGAAGTCGATTTCACAAATAAAAAACACTTATTTGGATATACTACTTCTGAAATTATTAACATGTTACGTTTCGATACACATACAGATATCGTTATCAAGCAAATAATGATATTTAACAAAAATGTGGTGCAATATATAGTTAATAATTGGAAACCATACAGCAGATTAATCATGAAATTAAGAATTAACAAGATGAGAGAAGTAATAATATGGATAAACAATTACAAAGGATTAACAAGATGAAAGACTGTAATGTATTGATAACAATTAGAAATTATTTGGATTTAGCAGATCAAACTGATAATTATACGAGATTAACGAGATGAGAGATAGAAATATATAGATAACAATTGTTTTTATATTACAGGGTAATATCCGTGTATTCTGTCGAGTTCGTCCATTGTTAGGTAAAGAAACTATCGGTAATGATGGGATCATCACCCACATGAACTTCCCTGACACGGACGGTAAAATCCTGGAAATGGATAAAATAGGGGATGCAAATCTCAATGAAGTATGTATAATTCTGCCAATTCTTAGAAACTCTACGACTCTCAGATTAACCTTAATTAAACTCTGTTATTTTTCAGTTTTAAAAATACATGTACTAGATCAGTGAGGTGTGATGGAGTGGTGATCTGATTGAAGCACAGATCGTTTCGCTTTTTATAGTTCAAAATTTTGTTTTACTTGTCTTTACTACACTAGGATCTGGAGGAGTTGTTATATTACTGGTTTTAAGGTTGACGTGAGGGATTAACCAATAAAATAGTCTGTTACTGTGAGTTCTTGGCGTGCATGGAACTATGGGTAAACCAATGTCTGGCGCCATAGGATCAAAAGCCACTTCTACAACCTCTTGACGCGACCTCCCGCTACAACTGGTCAGATCTTTATGTGGTAGAGGCCATCGAAAGAATAAAAAAAATGAAACGAAATATAGATCTGTATTTTAATCAGATCGATAGAGTGAAATGAAATTAAATGGAGTTTAAAGTCCTACTGTTCTGCTCCTATACTGGGCTAATTAAGACGGGCATACGCCATACAGTGTGCTATGAAGGAAATTTTGCCTGGGCAGCGGCACTCTCGCCTACTCTTATATCGAATTCCAACTGCCAAGGGATCTTTTATGTGCATTCCAATGTATACACGGAACCTAGGTTTTTCATCTCATCCAAAGGACTAGACAGCTGTCCTTGTCGGGCCCTCCGTCCTGCATCACTGACAAGGGGGAACCACGCCAATGCAGGGATTGAACACCCGACCTCCAGGCTAGCAAGCCAGCGTCTTACCCACTTAGCCAGGTGATCCCCACAAGATCGATGTTGTGGGATGGGGGATTTGGATGCTGAGTGATCTGTAGCTTGCACGTTAGATCATGGTATCAGTATTTGAGTCAAGTTTTTTTTTATTTTCATGTCACAAGGAGGAGATCATAAAGTCTGTCATTTAGTCACGCGGCGTGGTTTCTATTCCCCGGTTGTGTGTGACATGGAGTAGGGTCGCCTGTCCAGCCTCATGGGTTTTCTCTGGGTCTTCTGAAAAAAACCTACGCGCAAGTAAGGAGTTAGTCCCATGACGCGTGGCAATTTTCGCAATCAATATCGGGTTCTAATCTGGGACCTGCTTTTGAATGCGCCAGCGTCATTCGTATGGACCAATCGTGGTTCTCATCTTTTATTTTAACAGAATTTTAAACTGTTTCAATTTTAGAGTACTTTAAATTCTACAAGAGGGGCGAGTAAATATGAATTTAACTTCGATAAAGTTTTTGATCCAACATCAACTCAGGCCAGTGTTTTTGAAGAAATTTCTCAACTTGTTCAGGTAAATTAAATAAAATCATGTTTCTGTTGTGTTGGATTTTGTATAGTTCATTACTTGTTTGTTATTGACAGCACTGGGATTTGCTTGACAACTGTGGATTTTATTAATGTGATAAACTAGCATAGGATTTCCGTTTTTGGAAATTAATTATTTCCAGCCTTCAGGGCTCTAAGGATTGGAGAGGGGTGGTGGGGGAGCGAGCAGCCTTACACATGCGTTTTAGATCATAAGGTATGGTACCAAGAGTTCAGTTGCTTGCCTAGCCTTGTCGATTTTCTCAGAGTTGGCTGGTTTCCTCTCTCTTCTAAAGCTTATTATTGATATAAAATTTGATAACTATAATTCAGAGTACCGGAAGGTTGTAGCATGTTTAATTGATATCTATAATTCAGAGTGCTCTGGATGGTTATATTGTGTTCAATTGATATCTATATTTCAGAGTGCTCTGGATGGTTATAATGTGTGTATATTTGCGTATGGGCAAACAGGATCAGGTAAAACGTACACAATGGAGGGAGGAGGTTTAGAAGAAGAGAAATCTATGGGTATGATACCACGAGCTGTTCAACAGATCTTTGCAACAGGATCACAATTACAGGAGAAAGGATGGCAGGTAGGTTGTTTGTGTTAAACTCAGGTGTATCTGCATGTGGTCGTCAAGAGAGTGGATTTGAATGTCCCACTCCTGTTTGTATCTAGTTGCCATGACAAGGAGTAAGGTTGCCTGTCCAACCGCGTGGGTTTTCTCCGGGTACTCCGGTTTCCTCCCACTGCTAAAGACCACTACGCGCAAGGCAATTATTGAAATAAAATTGAACCATGTGTTAGTCCCTAAATGATTTAGTTTGTGTCGAGTGGACGTTAAACTCTCTCTCTAGTTGCCTAGTCATTTAGATGGGACAAAAAAAACCAACCTTTTTCCACTGGTGTATAGATGTACATTAACATGCTAGTAAAAGAAACCAGACAGAATTTGATGAACAGGCGGTGAAATTGTTGCTGAATCGAACGAATTCTTGTGTGTTAGTCTTAAAAAGACCCTCGTCTTCATTAATTATCCCCGTCAGAGGCGAACAGTAGGACGTTAAACCATTTCTTACACTGACCCAGATATTATGTTGGTAGTTCCGAATTTTAATCAGTGCATTTTATTTTGTCGAATACAATGCAGTATAAGTTTGTATATTCCAGTATAAGTTTGTATATTCCTGTATAAGTTTGTCTATTTCAGTATAAATTTGTATATTTCAGTATAAATTTGTATATTCCAGTATAAATTTGTATATTTCAGTATAACTTTGCATATTTCAGTATAAGTTTGTATATTTCTGTATAACTTTGTATATTTCTGTATAAGTTTGTATAGTTCTGTATAACTTTGTATATTTCAGTATAAGTTTGTATATTTCAGTATAACTTTGTATATTTCAGTATAAGTTTGTATATTTCAGTATAACTTTGTATATTTCAGTATAAGTTTGTATAGTATAAGTTTGTATATTTCAGTATGAGTTTGTAGCCAGTATGTTGGAGATATATAACGAGACAATACACGATTTATTATCAGAACGTCAGGATATTAAACATGAGGTTAAGATGAAAGGGAAAGATACAAACGACGTTTATGTCACAAACCTGACAACTGTACCCGTTAAACAAGAATCAGAGGTGAGAAATTGTAACAACACATTCCCTGTGGAATTTTTGACCATGCATTGATTGGTGGTTTAACACAGGCACAGTGATTGTATGATAGTGGCAAGATTGGCTGATTTAATATCTCTATATAACGGTACGATTTAGCTTAAGAAACAAACCATCCAATCGCCATGCCCATGCTATATTTTTTTTTTTTACTAGCCAACAATATCTTGTGACATTCTAAACATCTGACCTTGCATACAATGTACACCATCCAATCTTGGATATAAGAGGTGGTTTAATGTAAGCCCCAATTGCTGTGATTGTATGGGAGTGGCAAGGTTGGGTGGCTTAATGTGGGTGCTTTAGCTGCAGAGATTGTATGGGAGTAGCAGTGTTTGATGGTTTAACATGGGTGCTTTAGCTACAGTGATTGTATGGGAGTAGCAAGGTTAGGTGGTTTAAAGTGGCCACTTTAGCTGTACTGATTGTATGGGAGTAGCCAGGTTGGTGTGGTTTAATATGAGCGCTTTAGCTGTACTGCTGTAGTGATTGTATGGGAATATCCATAGTGGGTTGGGTGACTGAACTGGAAACCCCCTCTCTCTCTCTCTCTCTCTCTCTCTCTCTCTCTCTCTCTCTAAGCTTTTGAATAGTCTATAATTATTAAATTTTCTTTGAAGGTATTGAATCTGTTAAAACAGGCATCACACAATCGAGCTGTAGCTGAAACTAAATGTAATGAAAGATCATCACGAAGTCATTCTGTGTTCCAACTCCATTTGACAGGAAATAACACCATTACAGGGGAAGCTCTTCAGGGTTAGTATTATACGGTCAACTATATTTCATAAACCTTTTCGCCCCAATATTTCGGGACCTACATCGGCAGGGATGTCTAATTTTCCTAACTTTAAACATACATTATGCAAGAGCTAAATCTGCCTATTTCAGGTCTTTCTTTTAGGCCTGAAATGTTATCTAAATTATTAATTAGACATTAATTAACCTATCCAGGCCATAATCAACTCTCGATGGCAGCGCTAGCCTGCAGTCTTTAGTGGATTGTAAGCCGATTTACTGCATAACTTTCCTTCTCGATTAAACGATTAAATGGATAATCGAGACTATGCTGTTTATCGTACTGACTTTAGTAATGATGACCGAGGCTTATGGGAATTTCAGTCGCTTATTTCTCGGTTCATAGTGCATCAATTTGAATGAAAATTTCACCAAATTGCCTTTACATTATCTAGTTTTTAACTATTATAGTGAGAACTGCCAACTCATTACCAAATCTCCCATAATGTATCTTTAAGATAGGAAATTTGTAATGAATTTAAGGAAGTGGAGCAGATCTAAATGTATTACTGCTTGTGATAGGTTCCCATGTTATGCGTTACCATTAAGGCTGGGAATCGATATGAAATTTCAATATCGATTATCGGCAAGAATTTGTCAGCGATTATCAATAATAATCGATTATCATTTTTCCGGAAAAATCCGAACTTTACCGACCTGTTATTTGTGTTGATCGAGTTACAGTAGTGTTATTATCCTAGTCTAATACTGTGCCGATGTACGTAAAAAAATCAATTAATGTAAAATAATTAGTTGCTAAATGTAGGACTAACTTGAGTTCTGTTCTTGATTCATTTGAACCTTTTTTTATCTCCGATAAATACAAAGACAATACATGGTTTCTCTTTGCAAATGACTGGCGATCACACAGTGTTACTACTAATAGAATAAAATAAACTAGAAGGCGTCTATTGATTGGACAATAAAAAAATAATTACGGGCTTTCAAAGTAGAATTTTTATGATTGGTTAATTTAGATGAAAACCAAAGTAGAATTCTTCCACGAAATTACGCGAGATATAGATATTTTCCCTGGAAGTCAAAAATGTGTTTTGTATGGGCTGTATCTGACATGATTTAGTAATAAAAGCGGAGTTGATCATTAATAATACAATTAGTTTTATCGTGAAAGCAGACGATTTCTCTACAAATCAACCAAGAACAAAGAAGGGAGATAATTCTAATTTTACTATATATCACGTGCGATTGTCATTGTTCACAAAGTGCGTGACCTATTTTAGTTTCGACTAGTAATAACAACGAAAATATTAAAATAATGTATTTAATCATAAAGTTTAGTTTTTTTACAATAATATATATTTAAAATGTGCCAGTTTGTAAGCAGAGGGGGGAAATAGTTGTGTTGACGTTGTGTATTCATTCATTCGTCTGCTAATGCCAGACTACGGCAAGTTCAGTCATGTGAAAGTGACCGTAACTTGTCGTCAGAAGGTAAATATATCGATATTTGAATTTCAATATCGATTATCGTATCGCTAAATAACTTCTACCGATTATCGATTATATCGATATTTTTGCACAGCCTTAGTTACCATAGGATTGTCCCTATTGAGTCGACGATCTAGTGCACACAGATACGTTCAGATTTGTTTGGATATGATCAACGGGATTGTTACACCTGACCTCAATATATGACAAGACCTGATATAGGATCACCACAATTACTCCAAGATTAAAACCGTGAGTTCTATCGCATCACGACACGTGATATGGAAAACCTAGCATTTAGTATGCATATTCAAAATAGTTTTCTATATTCTTACACCGAAATGTTCATCTACTTGTCCTTCCATCATTTGCTAGTCGAAACTGTGTTTATTTTCATCAGATGAAGAAGCTGTTTGATTTTGCAGTGGGAGTGGATGGCCAGATGGTTAGCACATTTGTGCTATATCATAAGGTCTGTCATTGTGCCAACGAGTGTGGTTTTGTTTCCCTGGTTGTACGTGACAAAGATAAGGGTCAACTGTCCAACCTCGGGGGGGGGGGGGGGGTTTCTCCCACTGCTAAAGACGACTACCGGCAAGCGAGTTATTGAAATAAAATTGAACCATATGTTAGTCCCAAAATGACCTGGTTTGTTACGAGTGGACATTAAATCCCCTTTCTCGCAGTTTGATTTTGTAACCATTTCCTGTAATTACTGTATTAGTTATATTATGTACGGGGGTCAGGGTGGCTAAGTGGGTAAGATGCTGGCTCGCTAGCCTGGCGGTCAGGTGTTCGATCCCTGCATTGGCCGAGAAAGTTCATCTAGATTTTCACATTGGTGTGCATGTAAAAGATCCCTTGACAGTTGGAATTCAATATTCCAATATGCTCGCTGTCCGGGCAAAATTTCCATCATAGCACACTGTATGGCGTAGGACTGTCTTCATTAGCCCAGTTAGCAGCAAAGCAGTAGGACGTTAAACCCCATTTCATTTCATTTTATATTATGGACCTTGATGACTTTAAAAATTCTTTTGGAGACTCTAGAGGCAGAAAAGTAGGACGTTAAACCCTACTTCATTTTATATTATTTGTCCTGAAATGATTTAAATCAAAATGATATTAATAATCCATTTCTCTCTCCACTTTTTACAGGTACACTGAATTTAGTTGACCTGGCAGGAAGTGAAAGATTGAAGGAATCTGGGTCAGAAGGTCAAAGGTTAAAGGAGACATTAAGTATCAACAAGAGTTTAAGTAACCTTGGTAACGTTATAATGGCGCTAGGCAGACAGGTGTGTACATGTATTACCATATTATAAACACTTGTCATTTATTTTATCTATGGAATTAATATTAATAGGCTTGGATTCAGTTATCCTAGATTCCCACTATCACGATTCGTGCTGTGATTAAAATCGTGGTTTTAATCGTAGTCATCTAATCAGGTATTGCGATATAAAGAGGTCGG